CTTTATAAGAAAAAACATCTATCTGTTTAAATAAAACGATTAGGTATTGCTTTCCTAAAATAAATTATTATCTAAATAATTTTGTTTTTAAATTTAAAAACATATTAATATATTGTATATCATTAGAGTTCTTGATCATTTTTCTATACTATTTATTTTTTTATATGATGTTGTAGTTATTTTGTAGTACATTTTTAATCCCCAGTTAAATATAAGCACAGATGGGTAATCGTTTTTAAGCAGTGTTGACGAGTTGAGAATAGATATTGAAAATTATTAAAGATAAAGATAATTTTACATACATTTATCTAAATATAGATAAAGATAAATAAATATATTTCATATTTATCTAGATAAGATAAAGATAATCTAACTACTACTTACCTAAATAATATGGTAGATAAAACTAATTATTATTATATAACAAATTTACTTCACACTTACATAAGCATTATGTAACTAATGGTTCATAGGTAATAGTACATAAGGTAATGCACTAATTGGCTAGTGTTTAGATAAAACTGTTTTAGTAAAAAAAAAATTAATATGATCTAAGTAAAATGTATTGATAAAAATGTATCTATTTAAGAATATCAATAACAGATGAATATTCACAATATCTATCTAGGTAAAATAATAGATGAGTTATTTTTTTACCTAGATAAGTCTCAATACTGTTTTTAAGATAAGTATATTTACCAGTGTATAAATTATAATTTTTATACCAAAAATGATATTTTACAAAATATGCAAATTTTACTAAAGTAAGCATCGCAGTTGAACAGTTTGTACTAAACTGATTTTAAATAATAATAATATAAATATAAATATAACGATAGCCAAGAGAAACAATATGAGAGTCAGAGAGTATAAGTTCTGAATGTACATCACTTCTGTTGGGCACTCACTATATTATATTATTTTTTTTATGGTTCGTGAGTATTGTAAGTACTCCAGAAAACAATAAAAAACGTGTCTTGCGAAATAGAAAATTGCTCGTCGCATGGACAGCTACACGTTTATTTTATAATATATTTATACTTAAACATTTTATTATTTTACTACATAATGTGTTTGGACAGAACAACAATATGAAAAAGGATAATATTTAAAACGAGAATATTGCCTTATTTCAATTCATTTTGGACTTACTAAATTTTAATTTAATGTGCCCAAAAATCACAATACATTTAATAATAGGTACCTATATACGATACTTTTTATTTACCCGATGAATGACGGTCGTAAAATCGTATGTATATATATATATTATTATCATATACATTGTCTAGTATAGGTACAACCATCTGGATTGTAGCAACAAAAAATTGTTTACTGTCGGATTGGAAACCGACAGTCACACCTAAAGTGAAATCTATATAATTTATGGCACTGCAAAATTTTCAACCGTATGATGTGGTGGTAAATTTCTATTGAATAATTTATATACTTTTTTATGGACAAAAATAAAAATTTTATTTTACATCATTAAAAAACGTATTTCAAATACCTGTATGAAAGGTCTATTAATCAATCATTGAAGTAATAGTGTCCTTCGAATATGTGCGTCTATACCAGCCACTCAATATTGTTGAAAATTTTGTGTTCTGTTTAAAAACAATGAAAAATTATTTATGATGAACTATGCCTATGTTATAAAAAAAGTTAAATTAATTAACAATAGAATTCAACGTAACGTCATTATTACATTATAAAGATATTATTGACGCCCTTGCAATAATGTAATATATAAAATAAAAATATCCAGTATTACAAGTTTACAAATGCTAATTAATAATATGAGGTTTTATTTTAAATGAAAAAATATGAGATTTTAAATTTATATTTTATAAAGATAAATGTGAACTTTATTTAAATTGGTAAATTTTGAAAATATAATTTATATGTAAAAGTATGAATAAGTAAATGCAGAATATTTTTAGGTTTTGTTGTACAGAAGCGATTTTGTTTTAGTAAACTTACTTAGAAGCGGGAAAATGTTAAATCCACCTCTGCACATCCATAATATTATTATTGCGACACATATACGATATACATCACGTGACGAGCCAATAAGAAATAATACTATACAACATAATAATTAATAGTTGGTTTAGGATTGTAGGTATTTTTTGTTTTTGATGATTACCAGGATAACCAGCACATCTTAAGCCACGAGTTTATTATACGAGGTTACTATATTATTTTTAAAATTTGAACATTTTTAAGAGTCATTATATCCACAACCCGCGCACATTATGTTGTCATTTTCTACGCCTTACAAATGTCCCAGTGATCGGTGCATTCAATTAATAATAATTTTTTATGGACTTTAACGCTCGTATAATTATAATATATCTTTCAATTGTTAATATCAGTTTTGGGATAACCAAAATTGTTTTGCATTATATTATATTTGTCTTGTCTAACTGTCTGAATTAATTAAATTTTTTATTAATTTGTTTTCATTTTTAAATAGAGGTAAATTTATAACATTAATTCTTATGTAAAGTTCAATTATTTATTATTGATTATTCACCAATGATTTAACTTTTATTATTTTATTTTAATTAATACATTTATCTTTAGGGCAGATTATTTAACATTGAATAAATAACAAATTTAAAATATAATAGCAAGTTGAGAAACGTGTTTAGGAAAATAACAAAAATTAAATAGATATTGAATTTTTTACCATCGTAAATGTACTTAGCACTTTAAATAATTTGATTATATCTACTACGCAGCCACTAGCATGATATTTTTTGCAATATTCTGAATGCATTTGTGCACACATTTTAGTTAATATATACAATATACCTACATAATAAACAATAATCTCAGTGAGAAATAAAAACATTGAAATCAAATTACGTACCGAATTTCAATATTTAATAATTGAGAGTACTATTTATAGAATGTTCAATATATAAATAATGTATATAAGAAATAGATAAGTACATGTCATTAATAATAATATGTAATGTATATTTAAAATGAATACAATTAGGTAAGTACCCACCAATTTCATAAATATGGCCGATGTCGCCGAGGGCTTATTCTTAATAAAAATAAATTTCATAAATATTATTCTTATATAAGTACTTTATTAGAACATTTTACAATTTACCACTTGGACATTTTTGTTAGGTTTCCAATCAATGATAGAAAAAATAGCAATCAGTTACAATAGTTCATAATAACTAACCTCTCGACTGCTACAAAATTTGTTTTCAGAATAAAATCACTCATACATTTTACAATTATTTCTATTGCAATTAGATTTTAAATAATAGTCTATATGGAGTAAGAAAACCAATTACCATCGAATTCAAAATATGGATCATATAATATCACCATTGCACAGTTTTACCATCTGCTATTTATTTTTTTTATTGCATATCATAATTTATTAACAATTAGTGTTTGAAATGACGTAAACATTAGATAAGTAAGTAATAATATTAAAGATTATTCATTATTATTTTTTGCTTATGATTTTTTTGAATCATTTATCATGCGATATTAAGGAGAATTAAGAATAACAAAAAATAAAAACTACGTTTTCGGCATAAAATTCATAAACATACATCATATTTTTATCATTATTATTTTTTGTGATGATCATCAACATTCGTCGTGCCGTATAATATTTAATAACAACCAACTGTAGATATCTCTTTATACATTATTATACATATTTGATGTATAATATAAATAGATTTTAAAATTTTAAATAGTCAACTGGATAAAATTTATTTTGGAAACAAGTAACTTATTATTTTTATGAAAATTTTCTCACTTTAACTTTTCAAATGTAGATACAACGCCAATCATTGAACTCAGTTAAGCAGGTAATATTATGGCCGAGGCCAGTGAAAAATTTATTTTTATTTTTATTATATATTTTGTATAATAATGATCGTATGACGAAATGAAAATAAATTCCTTTTTTTTTCTCAATTTTTTTTACTGGGCTATCTGTTAAAATAATTTTAAAAATAAGCCTATTTCATGATAATAATAAATAAAATAAATTATTACATGAAATAGTATGAAAAAGCCTCCCAGTAGAATAACCAACAAAATAGGTATATATTTATATAATATTATAATCAGAATATTCACTCACTAAAACACTGTGTGTAATATTTCAAATGGTAAAGAACCATCACGTTAGCAACCTGACATAGTGTACATATACCGAGTGATTCATTTAACGCAAATCATTTAAAATCTTTTAATGTTTTTTTTTTTTTTAAATAATTCGTTAAAAACAATATTTTTCTTAAAAAAAAAAAATAATATATTTTTAATCTTTATTGCCTTAGTGTTATTTTTTTTATGACAACTGAAAAATTAACCTTGCGAATTATTGTTCCTCCCTCCGCTCATTTAAACTTTAAATAATTATAATACGCTAATGAAATATTCGAATGAGGATCGATTTTTGTAGACCAAAAATATATCAATAACATTCTGCTCTGGAACATGAAATTAAAGATATATGTATTGTTGTTTAAAAATGTAAAAATTGTATTTTGTTTGTGTTGTAATCATACAAAAATCATATAAATATTTTCAAAAACGTTTGATATTAATATATTTTAATATATATATATTATTATATTAATATATCTGAAGTAAGAAACGATATTCATAATGTCCTATGCTAAACGGATCACACCGTACATATATAGTACGTAAGTATAATATATTGGTACCTAATATGCTTCTCGAATTTCTTAGCTCGTCACCCGTTTTTTTTTTTATATTTCTCTCTTTTTTCCCTTATCAGCAATTTATAATAATATAATATTATATTGCAGTAGTTATCTATATCAAGCCGTACGCAGTACGTGCGTATACAGACGCAGATATATCGACGACGGTTTAAGCACATATTTTAGTCTGCAGATAATAATATATTATTTCGATTTCGTTGGCGCGCAACTCTAGCCTATAATCATAATATAATTTAATAATGGTGAGATAAATAAATATAAAATTAATATCATATTAAGTTATATCGTTAAGCCGCGGTCGCTGCAGTCACATTTTTTACGTGACGCCGTGCCGATCGCGAGCACGTCTGTCGCAACGAAAGCTTTCGTTTGAAAACCACGCGAGTCCCATACACGAAAATCGTACAAATGATTGTCAATTTAAAATATTTCAAAAAACAATGGTCGGACTTTCCCGCGTTCGGAATCTCGTCGTTTAGAGTGACGAACCCGGATCTCCGCAAAACTCTGTACACGTTGACGGCTTTGCAGTTGGTGAGTATAATATTGTTTTATGTAATAATATTATGATATTGTTTGGGTTAGTTAGCCAGCCAGTTAACGACGCCAAGCACTTGGTCGCAGCCAAATAGCAGGCCCAGACTAACGTAATACCTACTTATATTTATATAAATATGCGCGAGATGACTAAAATATATTATTATTGTTTGCTCTCTTCAGCAGCAAGATATTAATTTAGGAGCGTCATATTTGTATAGGGAAGCATCAATATTGGTTGACGTTTTTTGTATTGCAGTAGATAAATATAGCCATCACGACTATTCATTTTTTACTATAGTACTACATTGTTATATTCATTCTATAAACATTTTAGAAAAGTTAATTTAAAAGAAATAATGATATATAATGTTGAATTCTGTAATATGAACTGTATTAAAATAAAAAATAGGCAAGTATGGAGGTAAATACTAATAACTTTATTTTTTCTAAAATGGTACTTTGTTTGCTTGTTTTTTTTCAATAACATATAATATTATCATAAATCACGGTAAGTTAAATGTGTAATATAAGATTATTATTGTTTGAAACTTGTATCCTGACTAATTTTAACTCTGAGTTGAAACACATTAATATAGAACGAGATTATTATTATGATAATCATAAATCAATATTAATAACATATTGTACATTGTACAATATAAAATAGATGATTCAATATTAGTATGCTATAACATGGTATATGTATCAATGTATCATAATTCATAATATTCGAATAAGAAAACCAATATTATTGTGATATACTCGTATTTTATAGTTTTTAATTTATATATATTTTTGATTTACTTATGATAAAAAAAAAATAATAATAAATACAATACTTTATATTTGGACAAACTTACTAGTAATTTTATATTATTCAGTAAAATCTAAATTTGTTCAATGTAATTTCAGAATTCTCGATTGTTATTAATATTGGTTAAATGTTTGCTCGGTGTTAATAAAAAAGTGTATAATTTAATTTTAACTAAAAATGTTGTTCAGTGTAAATAATGTAAATCTTAAATTCATTGTATTATTAATATATGTATTATATGTTAATAATTTTATAACAAAATAAGAATTATATTATAGTTTTAAGAGTAAAAACAGATTGCTCCGAAGTGGTTCCCCYGAACGATCGGCCTGCAGTCGATCGTTGTACTGAGTACTGACTCGTAATGTTGTAATTTATGTGTTGGTTTTTATTTTAGTGGTTTCAATTGTTTTCTATTATACTGTTGGTCATCAGCAGCGTATTAGAATGGTATATCAAAAAAGACGGCAAGACTTCGGATCATCAATGGATCGGTGAGTAATTGAAAATTGTCACGTCCATTATTGCAGTTAACGTATACCTACGTAGATATTATATCCGAATAGTCATACAGTATATTATTATATTATTGGTTTGTGTTGGCTAAGCCAGCGGAAGATTCCTTGAAATGTGTTTTGAGATATACATAATATGTGCTTTAACAAATATTGACGTTATGGTTTCACCAGACCAATAATAACATTCACATACGTTCGGTAAACGGCGCAACATTATATGTCGCAAGAGCATCCATTTTCCTTCAAGAATGAGAAACTGTTTTCCTCCACAAAAAAGGTTCATTACCTACCGTTTTTCTCAAACATTTTTTTTTTTGGACTAAAATTATATCCATTTACATCCATATATTATAATATTTATTCGATATTTTAGCCGGCACCAGTGTTGTACGTACCTACCATATTATAAAGAGACAATTTATCACAGTCGATTACATCGTAACATCGTAACTTTGAATCGAAATTAAGATAGGAACGTAGGTACCTATTACATATTTTATTTTACTTCTAATATAGTTCATAACGCAAAGGATTTTTTTTTCGTTATAATATATGACTTAGAATTATATTTATTATATTTTTGATTCATTATTTAAGGACAATGTTATAATCTCATTATTAGAGTGACCGCAATATCAGTTATTTAAAAAATATAAGTGTGTTGAAAAAATCATTCAACTGATTGTTCCACGGTACATGTTATTATTACTCATCGCAAGGATGCGATTTTGTGTGCAATCGTGTTGTATTTTCTCAATTATAAGAAGTATAGATTTATGCCATCACATTGCATTTGTCCAGTCTCCAAGAAATCTATCATCACAATAAATAATAATATATTAATAATTAATGTAGGTACGATTAATATGACGACATTTGTAAGCAAATATCACGAAATGATTATAAATTTATAACAATAGGTATACCTATACCTAGGTAAGCATTTTTTTTTCATTTAATATTACGTCCGTTTAAAAATACTTGACAGAAATATCGTACTGACGCGTAATGTTTGAATGTGTGTGCATAAATTATTATTATAATAATTATTTCTCTGCTAATATTACTTGTGATGTTTCACAGGTTATGATCAGTTATACTTTAATACCTCGCTGCTATTCCAAATATGTGACGTCATATTGTCGATGTACGCGAGTTATCATTTTCTATGGAATGCCACGACCCGAGTAAGCACCACCACGTAAAACTAAATACACTGCACTATACCTGCTGCTTATTTTTATGAAGTTATATTTCTTATTAATATTGTATAATGTATGGCGAAGGTTTCACGTGACATCGTGAGTATCTATAGAATTTGTAAAATGTTATGATWGGCGAGATAAAAATCTTTCCATTATTACTTTTGACGTATTTTAGAAATTCAATTAGTTAATGTCCTATATATATATATATATATGCATGAATGGGAAAATACTTCTTATTATTGTCATGTTGGTACGCGATAAATAGATAATAATTTATTAKTATTTTAAGACGGAGTACTTATAGGTACCTAATTATATGGTATTCATCAATATAATAATATGATATTARCACGTCATCATCGTTTGTTTTACACCAAATGCATCGAGTTTTCAGTCTACTACGCATGTTATGATGATTTTAATCGACTCCAAAACACAAATATGATCAGGCATCTCCGTTTGATCGTCACCACTGAGAGGCTACAGTGTCCTAACAYAATATAACACACTCAGCTAACATTTTACCAACATGTACCATGCAATAACACGTATACTTATAATGTCATAATATTTCGTATGCTATTATGATGTTTATTATTTAGTCATGTGATACGGAGGGATTTTCCAAAAATTAATTTTTTTCTAAAGCGTTTAAGAACATGTTGTTACGTACGAATACATTAGATTATATTTTTATTTAGTTACCATAATAGTCTATAACTAATTATTACTAAAACTAATTTTAATATTTTTAATTTCTATTTTTTTTAGAAATTTTAATTGATTCACTATAAACTTTTTTGGATAAAATTATTGTACGCAATAGCTAATAATWTAAGCGCTATAATACCTATACTACAAGAGAGTTTAAAATCGATAAATACCTGATTAAAAGAATATAATATAATCAATTACAGTAGGTGTTGACGTTTGAAAATTGAATAAAATACAAAATCCCTATCAAAGTCGGCCTACGAATTATATCGGTGTGGAGGAAGGATGCTGAACGTAAAATAAACGCGTAATTTATACCTATAAGTACTTGGAGTGTTTAGGCGATTAGAGATAGGTACGATGCAATATACCGTATTATACATTATCGTTTTGGCCGTAAAAAAAGGATCGGTACCGAGTTTACATAATATACGTATTATATTATTCCTATATAGCTGAAACCATTTTACTGTCTGCACTCTGCCGAATAACAATAATATTATACTTGCCGGATTGAAAAAACCTTGCTCACTGGCCAAGTTTACAAACGCATTCAATATTATATCGTTTTTTTTTCCAAACGAAATTCTACATTTATGCACGTTGGTGAAAAATAAAACGATTTCAACTAAAATTTAACAATAAACTATAATAATTATTGAAAATCAAAATCATCAACATATTTTTACCACGAGTTCGCTTTTATTATGTAGTTATACGATATTCAAATAATAAAGTTGGCTTTCGCTTGAAATATAGCGACCATGCGAGAAGTGAGACATCGATCGTATATACATCGCCGCCGAGAACGGTCAGACACTAATTATTATTATACTTGGGTTCATTATACCGGAGGTAGCTATAAGTATGTGGCCCGTCAAACATTTTTCAGGAACTATATGATATCGGTTGCGGCTTATGTTCATAACATATTATGGATATTTCTACGATATTACAAACGTCGGAAACTTAATCAATAGTGATCTCAAAATATAATATTATAAAATTATACACTGTTATAATCCTATACTACCCTTTATCAGCGTGAAATGTCTACATTTAATAATAATATTCTAACTTAAATTTATACGACAGATTACGGTCTCAATAATGTTTTCCTTGAGTATTATTAATGTGTATTATGTAAAACAATATAAGATATGCCGACTTTGAGTGTGTCTTTCGACGAGTTTTTGTTGCACGAACCGTTTAAAATCAACACAYTTTAAAATAGTAAATATTATTAATTATTATATTCAATAATTCAAGTTTTAATTTAAAATGTATACGCGTATACCTATATGGTGGAAATGTATAAAATATTTTTCTTCGCGTTTTAAATATTTTGTTTTCACGTTTCTCTAGTTATTATATTTATATAAGATACCTAAATAATAACTGGAGAGTATTATTTTACTCGTGCAGTCGTGCCGAACGGTCTTCAAAATGTTATAGTGGTCGTTAGCATGTTACCATAATATAATATTTATAAGCTTCTAACGAAAATCTCAAATCTCATAGCAATCTSGTGTTCTAAAATTCATTTACTATTAATATCTAATATCAATACACCTAATTAATATTTTATTTTTGCCGTTTTCTTATAGTCATTGCTTTATCTTAATCAGTAGAACGAATTAATTTCGACTCGTATCTAGGAGATAAACAAACAATTTCTGCTATCACTAAAACGTGGATTTGTATGCACTTGCATATTATTTATTCWGGCTGATCGTATAATATGCAAAAACGAGGACAAAATTTGTTTTATAACATAAAGATTTAAAAAAATAAAACTTTTTGCATATTTCGATATTTTTCTATTTTGAGGGCTTATTTTACAATTTTAATCTTTTAGTACATATTTCGATGTTTTTTTTTTCAAACATTCTTGAAAAATATAGTATTATAATATAAGAAAACAATTCTATATTTTTATAGTTTCGATTAATATCAAAATAAATTAATACGTATACTTGTAGATATAAACAGTCTTCCCAAGTATGACTTTAGATCAATAATCGGGGAAATAAAATATGTATACTAAAATAAGAAATATTTTTAAATATACTGTATCAATTAAATGTTTAAAAAACGAATTTATTTCTGATACATTTTTTATGCATATTTTTTTTTCGTGCACATTTTAACATTTTGGTGGATATATTTGTGCATATTTAAGATTTTTTAGCGCATATTTTGTTGGTTTTTAAATACATATAAATCCACGTTCTAACTATCATATAGTAATCTTCATATTAGGTGTAATATAATTTAAGATAAACCACAAACCCAGATACTACCTATAACTGGATTGCATTTTGTTTTTCTACCGACACCGTAATTATTCATAAAATATTTCTATTGAACAGTGTGTGTGTGTTTTTTTAAATAATTATTTATACCTACCCGACATTACCTCTATAACATATTGTAAAGTTCTTTTGCTACGCTTTTATTTCAGTACAATAACATACAAGACGTCAGGATATGGATAATCGTCAACAATCTTTATATTTTGTCGACGGTAGCGTGTTTTCTATTCGTATGGTTCAAAGTTGGGAGTATCGTAATATGCATTAAATCGATGATCATATTGAGTAAGACATATGATAATTTTATAAGTATAACAATATGAAGATTATCGTTGTTGGCATGAAAAAATCTTTTATGGGTTAAACTTAACTTTCCACAAGAGACCAAAAACGTTTAAAAAATAAAGTATATATTTTGACGTATAATAAATATGAAGTTTTACTAGTAGCATAGAAGGTTTTTGAATAATAGTTGATAACATATTATAAAATGTTTTATATCACATTGAAGGAATTTCATGAACAATTTATAATTAATAACACACAAAAGGATTATTTATTATTTTTCATTAAATCTTTGATGAAAAGAGGCGTTAACACATTTATTAGATAATATTTTCAAATCAAAGCTTTTTTTCTGAAACTATTGACTCCAACACCTCAAAAACGTAAATTTGTCACAACGGTGGTTTTTTTTGTGTCATTGATGTATGAATTGCAATTAATTTATTACTATCCTTATTTTCCCATATCTGTCTATCGTAATTTCGTCACTTATAATAATTGATGTGTTTATAGCGTTTGCCAATTACAAGATATACATCGTTCATAAGATATACAAAGACGAAAAATCGTCATACATTTTTTTAGAACAAGGTCAATCGCCAATACCTAATTCACAAAAAGTAAGTAGGCCGTATGCATATTGGACATGTGAAGTTATACAAAATTAACTACCTATATTTTTCCATTTTTTTACACCAGTCTGTCGACGGATACGATCTGTATTCTCAGAATTACGACACCGTGGAATTTGAAGTGGAATCGTCTGAAAAATTCACCTTCGGATCACTTCCCTATACGGTGAATCAATAACTGCAGATAATATACATATCTAGATGGTCAAGGATGGTCGCAGAAATGTAAGCCATGTAGGGAAGGCAAAGTAAAAACTTTTTGATAAAACAGTATTACCATATTTTTTTTACAAGTGATAAAACATTCATATTGGCTAAAAAAATAGAGGGCATGCKCCTTGTGGACGATTATATCTAGAAGGTCTAGATGGTTGTCGAAATATTACAAATATATAAACAATATACATATATAATATGTATATATAAATATATTGATATTAAAATAATGTTTCAATGTTAATATATGGTTTTAAAAGATTATATTATTATATGATAAATTTATTTATTTTCATTGATGATCTGATAACGATATGATACTATAAGCCTTGTGTTTTGTAAGTTGTAAGTTATAAACATAATTTCATATTATTGAAAAAGACATCTTAAATATAGTTTACACTTTGATGACTTTCGATCTTACATGTTCTACTCTTCATAATATATATATAAACTGGTCCAATGGTCTCCAATATTTAAATATATAGATTCTATGTTATTGTGTGTTACTCCAAACCAAAACCATATATTTGGAATTTGAAAATCCCGCGTCGTTATTAATCTTCAACAAAATAAACTAAGGCTAAAGATTTTACACCCTCATCTAAACTGGCATATTGAATTCAGTTTAAAATATTATCCACTGTCGCCTTGAAAATAGCTTCTAAATTACATTTATACTAGCTCTGATAAAAAAAAGTATGTTAACAAGTCACTAAATATTTTAAGCATTTTAACAAATATTTCAAAAAAATATTGCTTATACTTACTCATACAATGGTTGAATTAAAATCAAAAACCAATTCTGAACTGAATATAAAATATAATATATAACAGGTATATTTATCCTTAATCACTTATTATTACCATACTAATACTTATATAATTAAGTACGGATAAATATCAATATAGATTTAATACGATGAAAAAAATTAAATCTCATAATTAAAAAATGATGTACTAGAATTTTTTTTTGATATTGCAAAACAATAATTCTAATACACCTTAAAATGTTTTGGTGACACAAGTTGAATTGCTACACTAAAATTACACCAGTGCGGCGACAGAAATTTGTATTAGTTTATGTAACGTTCGTTCAATGACGAGTACGGATGACACGACGTCACGATCGTTTTCCACAGAAATAATGACGTCCATATCTGCGGGCTCAGGTGTCTTCGAAACCGCTATTTTTACGAAGAAGTAAACCCTGTCCACGTCGATGTCTGGGGGGAGGGAGAAGGTAAAACTGTCTCTTAAAATGGTGTTGTTTTCCAGCATACATCGATCTTAAACTGTAGCATGTAGTACCATTCTTTTTTTTAGTCCAGTGCACAGGAATCGGACACATCCCAGTCAACTTTTTTTTTATGTTCGAACATAAAACGGCACTGTCGACGGTCCTTTGATAAAAAAGCAAAAGAAAATGTGAAACGACCCAAAAATAAAGTAAGCTGCTTTCCGTCGTTAATTGACTTAAAAAAATAACAACTGCAACGACGACTGCGACAATTGCGACTTGTTCGGAGACTGTTACTGCTGTAATCATGTCTATTGTCGGTTAGAATTCATCTGCAACCTGCCAATTCCTTAACATTTGTTATTAATTATTATTAGGGTTGAGAAAAGATTTGTTATTATATGTTCTTAATAATCCATAGTAGCTTATCGTGAACGGTTTAAAAATAATAATAACAATATAAATTATACAAATAATTCTCATGAAATAAAATACAAGGAACCTCGTGATGGGCTGTAGTAAAATTGCATACACTGAGCGCCGTATTAAGAAAGTATTTGTATCAGTAACAAATTATAGTATTAATATTAAATTATTTTTGTTATTGCTATTGGCGTTTCCAATAATCAATAACGTTTTGTTCCTTCAAACGCATACCGTTTAACTTCCGCAACAAAATACAAAGCTCTGTTGAAACTGCATTGCGTAACGCAATTTGCGTTGAATKTTTAATGTTTTAAAAAAATATTTTATATTTTTATGTGTTATAATATATTAAATTTTTATAATAATGTACATAACACATATTCTTATGATAAAATCAATTATTTTTATCAATATAATATTTCTGTTTGAGTTTTTTATTGTCTTTAATATAAAAGCCTTTGTAATTTGGTTGGTGGATTATTTCCTTAATCAATACAGGTTTTAAATTTTTTTGTTTTCATAATTATCTAATTATTATACTATTTATTTTTATTATAAGCCACATAAACGCAGAATATTTATTATCGGTGTTAACAATGTGTTTATATTATAGAGATGATGTTTAATATAAAGTTTTATATTTTTCACAGAAATAAAGAAAGAGGAAACAGTTTTATAAATGAAATTTCAAACTATATGAAAGTAATTAAATTAAGTTGTACCGATAACTTATTTAATTTTAGGAAACTGAAAATTTTTTCCGATTAGTGCTTAATAAAGACAGTCAGCTAATTTGAGGTTGATTCGGATATCGTTGTATTCTCGCAAAAGTAAATGATGTKTGTTTAACCGAGGGTATTTTTCTACATAAATGGCATAATAGTTAAGTATACGTTTTGGTCAGTGGATGTTTATGAATAATTTACTATTGAATGAAATTTAAACTAATTTGTACAAGTCAATATTATGTTTAATGAATAATAATACTTATTTGTTTATTATCTTACTCGGAACTTGCAAGTGAATGGTAGAAGGTATKTACCCAAATTAAAGCCACGGGATTTTAGCATTCTGGTAGCATTCATATTTGTGATAGATTTAGGATAGCTTAGGATTTACTTTTAGTGGCATTTTTTTCATAAGATACAGGCATGTGTGAAATGTATTTTTTAGTTTTAATTTTTTTAATAAAAACAATGTTTGATATTTATTACATGTATAAATACGTATTATAATATCAATATTATATTGTATTATATCTATTTAATTTAATTTAATGAAGACCTATTATAATATTTTGCACCTTGGAGACGTTTTGTATACAAAAATTTAAAAAAAAAAAAACCATTGAGAATATGAAATAAAAATGTAGGTTGCCATTATGGAAAAAGTAAAAAAAAAACTCCCGAGTATAAATTGTTTTCTACAAAAACGCCTTGTTAAAAGCAACACCGTCGCCTAGATAAGTAAAGCGAAAAATAAATTACTAACGATGATTGTCTTACGTTTAACGTTTAACAGTAATGCTTAAAATAATATATCATTATACTTGCACCATAATTCGTATACCATCTGCGCATGTGACATGTGCTAACGTGTTAGGCTTTTGGGCTGTTTAAACGACATGAAAATTCATTTTTTTTTCTTTTTCAATATTTAATTTTAGTGTAAAAATTTAAAATATAGTAAACTTACGCTTATCTGACGGTACATCGTACATATCCGTAAAGAATTACAGAACGTCGTGCACAGTTTTCAAATTATCGAATCGTCATACTATTTTTCTTTCTTTTGAACAAAGTATAGTGACATATTATACTCACTGTCATGACAATTAATTTAAAAAATAGAATCGATTGACATTTTTTTTTAATTTAATTTTTCCTAAACAGCAGTGTTTGTATTTACGAACAAACTGTAATAATATAAAATACTTGAACTCGTATAATACGAAGCAAATAAAAAAAAAAACAATATGTTGTCTATTACAAAAAGTTCTTCGATTAAAATTATTTTACCATATTATTATTAACCATACATGGTAGTCGATAATATACTTAACTTCAATCTAAATAGTTATCTGAAACAATCATATTAATTAAGTTACAGTGATTAATTTTAGTCATATACTCAAGTACACTTTAAAAAAATACTGGAAAAAAAAACAAATTCAATAGCCTAAAAGCTAAACTTTTAAGCTCTTAAAACCAATATATTTAATGTGGACATACGAGATACAACTGCTATGAAAGTCGGTTAAAAAAAATCAAACTTAAATAAAATTCAAGTGTTTCGAGACATCGCACTCCACAAAATCACAAACGCTCCTCCCTTTGCCTCTTCACAAAGACCTTGGTATTAAATCGGTCGGGGATAAAGTTGCACTATTTTACAAACGGTTTTTTTTTCTAGACGATAAAACTACCACATCCCACTCGGCCACTCGTAAAATGACTTCTATACCCATTTTGCTTCTTGGAAATTCTTATCACTGTTGAGTGCAGACTTAAAATAAAGTGGTACGTGATCTTTTCAATTAATTCTCTTCAACCTTTTAATCCCAACCTAAGTGCCACTAATGCAGAGGCTTCTTATTCACTTAACTGCTATATTTTATATTTTTTATTCCCCATTATCACAATATATATACAGGATGTAACAGAAAAACCTGAGAAAAAAATTATGATAATTAAACATATGAAAAAATTGTCAATATTATACATATGATGAGTAAATAATTTAAGAAATATACTCATATCAGAAAATTCTTAAAATTTTTTTTAAAAGTTATTACGTTTCAAATTAATTTAACCAAATTTTGAATTTAAAAAAATTCCAAAAAATAAACTACTTGATTTAGATAAATCTTTTTACCATCGAAATTGTTCTTATAATTAGATTTTCAAATAGGCTATTTTGAATTAATTCAAAATTTGTTATTAAATTATTTTTTTTTCAGTACTAAAAACTAAATATGAAAAAAATTATCATACATGTAGCKCTGTGCCACTTAATGAATAAAAATAAATAAATAAAAAATATTAATTTAAACAAAAGTTTTTCCAAAAGTCAGTTTTATCTGTTACACCTTGTGTATTCGTTGAGTGTAAATCTGTATGGCTTATTTATATATTATATACTTTTATAAAAAAAATGATAAAAAAAATAAGAAGAATTATAATTACAACTCGAAATGACATGGATCTGTAATGTATATTATAATATTAAATCGTTATTAAGCTGTAAAATTTGTTTGAATTTTACAATGACACACAATTGCAGTGTATGACGTATATTAACAACAATTTATATTATTTGTAACGAAATGTTCTGTTTTATTTAAACGTTCTTTTTACATTTTCGAACATAATTTAAAGATCAAACACTAGATAATCGGACACTTCATCTCGTCTTCCACCATATAAATCATTACAATAATAATATAATAATATATATATATATTATAATATTTTTCATACCATGCTAACGTACCCATTATATTGAACGTATTAAGAAGCTCGGTCATAAATATAAAAAATACAACTCACATTACATGACGTTTATACTAATGAAGAGATTTCAAAATATTTATTTGTCAAATTTTAAATTATATAAGTAAACATAGGATTATTCAAGCCTAGTTTTTATATATTACCTGAAAATATATATGAACGTCAAAGATTTTCGAAGATTTGTTATTTGACAATCTATTTCCCAGTTCCCCTCTCTCTTCACTGCTGAAGATAAAAGGCTTATATCACGATCATATCAGTAATTCTTTAATCACCCGACGAATTTTGGTTTTGTTTTTTATAAGTAACTGATTTAATTATCAAATAGTATGTGATATTGATAATATCATAACTAAAAAAAACTGATTTGTTAATAAAAATAAAAGTTATTTTTCTTTCATCTTTGTTTTTAATAAAAGTTTAACAGTTAACACTATCTAATATCTCGTGTAGTAGTTAAATAGCTTACACTGTATCACTTAGAAGTTAACGACTTAAAGTTATCTCATGTAGGAGATTACCTAGGTACTTTTGTAGTAGTTTACCATTCTCCATGGTTCATATATGAATTAGGTCAGCCTCGTGGTTTTCACAGTATTCCAAAGCAGACGGCAAAAAACCACGCAAAGATAATAATTCCTTATTTATTGTTCCAATGCCATTACGATAATATTAAATTATATTTTATATGTAAATATTGTAATCATTATTGTTCATCTCCGATGTATACACACGCATAAATATAATTTACTTATATTATACAGAATGATTATTTTATCGTGGAATAGCTTAGGCATACAATCAAGAAAAACGCAATATTTTTAATTTTAATTTACCATAAACAGTATTTTTGCTAAATATTTATAAAAACAAATTTTCATGTATCTATTTTCTGGGATATTGACATATTGATGATATCTAACCATTCTAACCTAACCTGGTTCTCGACAAACAAAATTACCCTGTATATTGTATTAAAGGTATAAATATTTTTCACGTCACGTAAATGCAAAGAATTTAAAATGTCCGACAGTCTATATAATTATATATGTCATATATATTTTATATATATAAGTAGTTGATTAGCACTCGACTAAGAAAGACGTAAGAGAAACAACTTTGCCTGCATTAAGAAAAAGTACCTTGAGTAATATCAATTATTTTTCAAAAATAAACATATTTTTATTATTTTATACTATAAATGTGGGACGTAAAATTAAATTAAATTCAGTTAAAATTATACATCACAAGTTTTTACAAATCACAATTTTTCATAACAATAAACCTAATAATATATCATAATTCACAACAAAATATACTTAAACATAGTTACACGCAAAATAATATTATGCCGCGATAGTGATGCGATACCTTGAATTGCATAATATATAACGTCTGCCAGTGTGCCTATTTGCAATTACTCCATATTGTTATTAGTTTTAAATTTGAGTGGGCACGCTATTTTAAATTAAGCAACACACTGTATTTGTACCTACTAATATAAAATATAATAATATTATATTAATATAGGTACGTGTCAACAGAAACGGTTCGAATCGTCGTTCGTCGTCACTCGATTCATATACACCTCCAACACACGCACGTACGACAACGTTGCCAAAGTACACGATACTCATAAGTACCTACTAATATCGTGTAGAATAGTAATTTTTCTGTTAGATACTATTCACAACCGAATGTGAATCGCACGCGTATACAATAGATAACTAAATTATACAATAATAATTAAATATATTATTCTATCCGCGCGTACCTTTCTGGTGTCTATATAGCTGCAAGACCAGCTGAGTATCTCCTCTGCGGATCACTCTTCTTCACTGAGATAATATTGTTTTATAACATACAGTAATAGTTATTGTAAGAGCTTACCACCACCACGATGGCCGAAACACCATGTTTCTTCGGACTAACAACTGTCCGCATCGGCGCACGCGTTGTGGCTTATTTACAATTCGTGAGTATTTTATATTATGATATTGACATAATGAAGTTTTTTCTGGACGTGTAAATTGATAATTCTTTTTTTTCTGAACCACTACGATTTAGTACCTACAATAGTATTGCAGAGTAACACTAATTTAATCATCAACAGACCGAAAACCTGTTGATCGATCCGATCTTAGTCCCATAATATAGTGGAACCTCGGTAATAACTCGAGTCGGTCGGGGCAAAAAGAAATTTAACTTATAGATAAATGTGTATGTGCATATCAGAGGTCAAGGCACTCTTAGAGTTATCAAAAATTCATCTTTAAGACGTTCGAGTTACCGTAGTACCACTGTAGTTTTACACGAACACTGCGATCTGTGTGCTTGGTGTATTTTCTACAGAAACACAAGACACAAAAATAAACTGTTTAAGTTTGAAAATATATTCGATTCTAAGAAAATGGCAAATCCTATAATTAGGCGTTAAGTTTCTTCTCACATTATTCAATTAGTTATGAGTAGGGTTCGGAAGTTATAGGAACAAAATAAGGCAAATATGCAAGAAAAAATTATAAAATATACATGAAAAAATGTAAAATATGCAAAAATATTTATTTATTTACCTATTACAAGTGTGTTACTTATTTATTAATATACACGAAAAAAATTCTGAAGACATATATTTAAAAATTATTGTATTATTTAAAATGATTATATAAGTTAAATATAAAAAATAAGGCGCGTTACCGGTTGGCGTTTGAGATTTTATTGAACTGAAAGAATAGTTAAATAAATATTTTTTCATAATTTGTGAAATACGAAATTGATATATGTTGAATAATACCCGTTAAGTTGTTTTTCGCTTTACTAGCGTTGTGTTTGTAACATTATTTAAAATTAATTGGTGAAGAATGAAAAAAAAATTAATTTTTGTTGAAAATATTAAATATGCATATAAATATGCGAAAATCGACGAAATATATGCACTTTTTCTCTAAAATTGTCGAAATATACAAAATATGCATTCTTAATTTTCAATTTTTAAACTCAACATTGTATAGTTCAGATTTCTAGCTTGGTCTGCTATAAATCGACAGCATACAGAACAATATGCATCTCCTATAACTTCTGAACCCTAGTTATGAGTTAATGACTAACGACTCATAAGGAATTGAATAAAATCCACGTTACGTCATACTTTACGACCCATCGTAATTATCTGCACGTGTATAAGAGTAAATTGCCAGTAAGCCACTTCACACAACGTTTTTAAAATATTATATACATTTTTTATTATTACGTTTGTGTCTTATATGTTTATTTTTTAAGAGTAATTTCATAAAAAATAAGCTTCTTAACAGGTGTTTAACCGTGCTCATATATTATTATAGTTTTATTGTATTTTAGGTATCAAAAAATAAATACCTAAACATATTGTATATCTTGTTTCGTTATCGTCTTCGACATATACGAGTATATATACCTCACATAAGACAGAATAATGAAAAAATAAATAATATAATCTTAAAATAGCGAGGTACTTCACATGCATACCTACAAAATGGTTGATTGTTGCTATAGACTCTGCAGCTTTTCTCAACATCTCCTAAATTGATAATTTTTAACCATTAGGTTTCAAATAGATCGGTTTGATAAGTCTATAGTACCTTACATGTACAATAATTTAACTTTAAATAATAATTTGGAGAATAATATCATGTTGCGTGTTACTTTAATGAACTCGAAGAGAGAGAGTCCATGTTGAAATATAGGTATATGTATATTATTTATATTTTATATATATATATATATGATAGATTTTTAACAAAAATGCATTATTTTGTAAATATTAAAACTGTTACACTAAATTTTTATATTAAATACTAACCTGTTTATATGTTTTTTTTTCACCCTCAAGTGGTCTCAATTGTTCGTTGTCATACTGTTGATGTTCAGTTATTTCAATTATTGGTTGGACACGGATAATAGTCCTACTTCTACGAACACGAATGCGACTGCCGCGAACGAGACTTCGTCGACTGCAATCATAAGTAACACATTATATTATTATTATATAAATGGAATTGGTTTAAAAAAGAAGTTGTTTCAACCAAAATATACCAATCTAATCGTATGATAGATATTAAATGTAGCGAATTCAGTTCCTCTATCTGAAGTATAATATTAGGTAAAACGCATTATATATTAGCCGTCGATCGGTAGGWTTAAGAAAATTTATCAAAAAAACAACTCGTTCTAAAATTTCACTGTCACTAATTTTCAGTAAATGCTAATTACATAGTGACGGTCGTGTGTTCACACACACACACACACACACACACACACACACACAC